TGACAAAAGTGCATCAGCCAGAATATGGCCTCATGGAGAACACTGGGAGAAGAATGGGACAACACTCTTTTCAATAGTGCACCTGAGGTCAGTTCTAGTGACTAAATTCTCATTCGCATGCTCAGTATAGTGCTATACTTCTTTTTTTTAAAAAAAAATCCCTCTTGTCATATTGTCTGTACTTGGCTTTGTGCAGTTTAATATTTCTATCAATTATTTGCATGAGGAATGGATGTTTCATTTAATAATATCTATAGCTGGAAGGAATAGCTAATACCGCAGATGATAGAATCAAGATTTAAAATAATCTTGACAAGCTGGAACATTGGACCAAAACCACAAGATGAAATCCACAGGGACATATGCAAAGTACTGTATTTAGATTAAAAAAATCAATGGCACAATATACAAGCCTATATCAGTAGACAGGAAAAATATTTGGGAGTTTTAGTTGATCATCAAAGTAAGTTTACAGACATTAGCAAGGAACCCTCCCTTCACCAAAATCCAAAAACTTAAATTACAAAATCAGCACATAATAGAGGGGATTAGACATATGCAAAAGCACACTTGAAAAACAAATGGAATTCCTGGCATAATTGATGATATATCTAAAAAGAGAAGGTGTTAGTGAGAGGAGGGACTGGCTTGTCAGTATGAAACATAGGAAATGAAGAGCCAGTGTGAGCAAATAAGAGCCAGTATCTGAAGATAAGAACCTTTACACTGTCTATGCAGTGGTCTCCTTAACAAGACATGAGTCCAACCGGCCCCCTAAAAAATATTTACAACATTATTGATTATATATACATATAGTCACGGGATGTGGAGTAGAGTGTGGGAATAGAGTCAATGGAATTGTAATAGATAAGTATGACATCGGGAGTGGGAGGGCAGTGGATGGGGGGAGAGGGGTTGTTACTTTGTGAGGGGTGAAAAGGATAACTATTGCATTGTTCTGTACACATGAAACTAATAATAAAAGAAATAAAAAATAAAATAAAATTTAAATTAAAAAAAAGATTTCAGAATCACTATAAATGATTAAAAAAAAAAGAAGATAAGAGCCTTTTTTATGGTGTCATCAGTGGATAAGTGCATGGCCCTGGGGTCAGCCAGCTGCCTAGGTTTTAAAACCAAATTTGCAAAGTATTGATTATGTCATTTTGGGCAAGTTACTAATGCTGTGGCAATTCTCCTCTATAAAATGGGGAGAATCATGATCCCTACTTATGGAGTAACGCGTATTAAATGAGATAGGGTGTGATGGTGCTTGGCTCTTAGTCAGGGTTCCATACATGCTCCTTATCACTATTGATTGGTCTCTTTATTGTAGATTGATACATTAGTGTTTTCAGTTTCCACATCAGTCTTTTGTGAGATTCTGCAGATGGTTCTTTCTGTGAAAGTCTGCTTCATTTTTGGTGGGCTGAGTAAAAAAAAAAAAAAAAAATCAAATTCCTGAATGTTTGACCCTGGAACTACAGTCATAGTATTTTAAAAAAAATTCATATCATGTAACTATGCTAAACAGAACTTAGTGGAATATTCCATTAATTTATAAAAGTTTATACTTTAAAAATGGCATGGATAAACTGAAATATATTCAGGTTATCATGGCCTAAGAATGACTTAAGAGCTAGAAATGCTAAAGGGAGCTGGTATAGTTGCCTTTAATCCTTGGAGACATGCCATGTGGAAGAGGGCACAGAATTTGTCACCTCCATGAAAGGAAGGCTTCTGATTGAATGTGTGGCACAGGGAGCGTCCATCCCTGAATGCACATATTGCAAGCCCCTGACAGGAAGGCCAGGGAGGAATAGCTTTTTGGGTCTGTATTTCTGTAAGTATGGGCGTGGGCAATGAGCGTTACCAGCCATTATATCTTTCCAGTCCTCATGAGAACCTTGCAAAATAGACAGGACCTGGAATTCAGTCTTTGGCCTCTAAATGCCATGTTTTTAAAACGTGTGCTCTGAGGTTACCTGCATCCGAATCATGCACCTGAGGTGTTTATTAAAAAATCCAGATACCTGGGCCACGTTCTTAGAGATTCTGATTTGGGAAATCTGGAGTGGGGCCCAGGAAACTGCATTGGCCCAGACCAAGGTGCTCTGCTCTCCTAGTACACTTTCTAGTATAATACCAATTTCAAGACTCTGTTGTTTCAACAGATATTCATAATTCCTACAATGTACCCAACTTGTTTCAGAGGCTGGTGGAACAGGGGTGCATACGACCATAGAGGTCCCTTTTAACTGGAGCTTGTGTCTAGTGGGAAAATGCATTGGTTAAATAAGCAAGCCAATAAAAATAAGGAAACCAGAAGGCCTATGGCAGGAATTACATAGAGTGCTGTTGCTGAGAGTGATTGGGTGGCTCGTCTGGATTGGAGCGTCTTTCTCCGAAGGGTGATGTTAAGCTGAGAGCTGAATGATGAAACCACCACGCAGAAAGTCAGGGGCAGAGCATGCCAGCCAAGGAGCTGTCTAGTGCCAAGGCCCGGTGAGAAGAACATGCCTGTTGTGTTTGAGGAATAGAAACAAGCTCAGTGTGGCTGAAAGCTAGGGGGAAGTCTGGGATCAGGTCAGACAGGTTGACAGAACCCAGATCACGCATAGCTCTGATTTTATTTGAAGTGGGATAGGAATCCATTAGAGAGTTCAAGCCAGGGAAGATACAATGTGATTTACCTTTTATAAACGGTCCCTCTTGCTGTTGCACAGATTCCATAGGTGTGTGATGCCCGGTTATTAAATATACCATCACGACTTTGGAGAGAACGTGTTTTTGATGGGTTTCTCTGTTAACACCTATGGTGCACTTTATAGTATACGAAGCATTTTTATATACCTTATTTCATTGGATCTTCTCAAAAATCTTATGAGACTCATCTTGTTATAATCCTCATGTTACTGGTAGAGAAACTGAGGCTTATAAAGGATGAGATTCTTCTTAGATCACATTTTGAACTGTTACTAGAAAAGTTTTCCTAGAAAGGACCACTTTGTTTCTGATCATTCAATTTCTTCTAGGTAGACATTTGAAAATGGGGGGATTTTCCATAAAAATCTGGATTTTTTGCCTTAAAAAATGAAGATGTGTCCCAAGCAAACCCACATTCCTCATGCAGACAGTGGGCTGGAGCTGTTGAGGGGTGTCTCTTAGGAGGAGAGCTGCCCCCCCTCGCCATTACCCCAGATCTGCTTCAGTCTTTTTGTTATCTGCTGACCCCTGGATGTCTGAATTCCAGGCTGCTGCTCTCAAGTGCTTTCAGCCCACTCCATTGGTACCTCTTCAAGGGCCATTTTCCTCTTCCCTCATTGAGAGAGAGAGAGAGCCTGGGATAGCCTGGTTACCCCAGTCAGGGGACTGTGAGCTTGCTCCTCTGGGAGCTCAGCCCAGTGCCACCCATGAGACACAGAAGTTTCTTGGATGTGCGTGCTTTGCTTAGAAATGTATGCAAAATTTGCCTTCACTCTATAATAAGGCTACTTGAAATACTGATTTTCCAAGAAAAAGAAAATCTATGTTTATCCTATGCTTTCACATTACTCTATATGCTAGATCAGGGGTCGGCAAACTGCGGCTCGCGAGCCACATGCGGCTCTTTGAGTACTGTTCCGTCTCAAAAGTTTGCTGACTCCTGGAAGAGCCAATCCTGTCCCTTACAGCAATTTAAAAGTTATTTGAGAGCCATAAATATATATTTACAAATAAGGAAAATTTAAAGTAATATTATAAATGAAACTATGATAGTTTTATTTTCATTTTCAATTTTACTTTAGAGCCACATGTACACACATACTCTAAGAGCCGCACATGGTTCGTGAGCTGCAGTTTGCTGACCCCTGGTGACTTCCGTCTCAAAAGTTTGCTGACCTCTGATCTAGATGGTTTGGAAGTCCCCTAAAATTATATGGCAAACTTTTGTTTGTGTGTGTTTTTCTAGGGAGAGGGTTCATGACTTTATTCAGACTCAAAGGGATCCATGATCCAAAAAGTGTTATTTCTAGCATAGGAATTAAAAGTCAGGCTGAGCAGAGTCAGATCCTGGCTCTGCCGCATTATCATGAAGTTCCCCAAATCTCTGATTCTAGGTTTCCTCATCTAAAAAAATGGTTTATTAATACTGGGCTTGTGGAGCATTGATTAAATGAGGTAATATACATGAAGTGATGAGCTCAGGTCCTGGCACATAGGAGACAATTACTAAGCATAAGGGATCACTATTGCCACTGCTGATGTTGCATCAGTCTCCTATTATATCTAAATGCCTGTTATGGGCAGAATTATGTCCCCCCAAGTATTCACCTCTAACCCCTCTAACCCCCACTGTGACTGTATGTGGAGATAAGGTTTTTAGGAGTTAATTAAGGTTCAATGAGGTCATAAGGGTGGGGTCCTGATCTGATAGGGCTGGTGGCCTTCTAAGAAGGGGAAGAGAGAGCCGTCTTTCTCTTTATACACAGGCGCCAAGGAAAGGCCATGTGAGCCCATGGAGAGAAAGTAGTCACCTGCAAGCCAGGAAGAGAGATCGTGCCAGAACCCAACCATGCTGGCACCCACATCTCAGACTTCAAGCCTCCAGGACTGCAAAAAAATAAATTCCTGTTGTTTAAGCCACCTAGTCTATGGCATTTTGTTATGGCAGCCAGCGCGAAGACAAGGGCCAGCCCCCTTCTTTCCTGAGCTAGTCCCTTCTAGGGCAGGGGTGACAGGCATAGCCCCTACTCTATCGCTGGAGAGTGAGGTCGGTTGTGAATTCGTCTTGCTGTTCTACGGTCAGGGTTTCGTTGCACCTGAAGTATCCCGGTGTTCACCGAGATGAACTTGTTTTTTTTTGTTTTTTAAATGACTGATAGGGTGACCTGTGCACACACTGGGGTTTCTGGCTGTCTTTCCTATTGAGTGCTCCACGTTGCCTGTTGATTAGAGCATTGTTCTTATCATCAGCCTTCTGAGGAAGCCATGTGGTTTAATGGTTGAAGATGCGGATTTTAGAACTGCCCAGCCTGGTTCTGAACCCTGGTTCAGCCACTCACTGCATGACATTGGGTAAGTCACTTAACCCCTCTGTGCTTTAGTTTCCTCATTTGTAAAATGGTGTTAATAATAGTGCCTGTGTAAAAGGGCCACTATAAGGATTTAATGGTTTTAATACGTGGAAAGTGCTTGGCATATATTAAGCCCTATGAAGTCTAGAGGTTATAATTACTTGACTGGGGCTCTCACCCAACTTTGGTTGGTCCCCTTCCCTGATGGTCTTGGCCTTGTTTCCTGTTACAGCAGCTACTTCCTGGAGTCCTACTCACAATGGATATATTAGGTGCTTGATGTTGACTGTCGCCTTGCCTGGAACCTCTAGCCACTATAACTACTCACTAGATTTGAACCCTTTGTGTATTGACTTGAATGTTGTAGTACTCTTCCTTATAATGCAATGCCCAACCAAGCTCAGATAATAGGATGAAGATGTGAAATCCGTGTTGATAACCTCTGGTCTTTCCCTGTTCCTAAATAATAATAAAAAAGGAGAGGGGGCTATCATATCTCTATATAAGGGCTCATCTGCCAAGAGGGCTTATGTATCATTCTTACTGAGGGGTGAGGGGTAATAGAATTCAGTGGTTCCCAACTGTGTGTGGTGTGTAAGGGTCAAAATCCCTTGAGGAACTTGTTACTAATGTGGGTCCCTAGATTTCACATCCAGAACTTTTGTTTCAGTAGGTCTGTGGTGGGGTCTGGGAAATCATGTTTTTAATAAGCACCTTAGGTAATTCGAATGCAGCTGTTTAGCTGACTTGCATTTGAGAATTCCTTGGCCAGATGTTTGTTCAAGATCTCTTTTAGCCTGCAGCATATAAGATACCAGAGTAAATATAAGGACTGGGGAAGGTAAGGACATTTAGAGCAAGATTCTACTTTCTTCAAGCATTTTGCAGGTTCATACTTGACTGGCAAAACGACAATCAGACACGCTTATGTTAGGTTTTGTCTAGATTTTCATCTAAATGGGGGACTAGATATCTAGTTTACAGCAGCCAAAGAATTAGCAGTGACCATGTCAGAAAACACAATTACACAGTAAGTTATCGTTGCTCAATTTGCAAATAGCCCTTCTCCAAAGCCATGCATTCTGGGAAGGGTTTCTGGAATGGTGGTCCCATGACATGGTCTATAAATTACCTTCTGGGCCACATGGATAGCTGACACCTATGGCAACATTTATTTGCAAGAATGAGCTATCTGTGGTGGCTAAGGTTTTCCATGTACTAACTAGAATTTCAGAGTAGCTAGAACAAGAAGCATCTTTTTAGAGAAGGCTTAAATCTTAGAAACGACCGCCTGAGAGATAAAATGCCATCCTCATGTATTCAGCGAAGACAGGCTGGGATTTGTTGAGAAAGCTAGTTAGTGTCAAGGAAGCTGCAGGCACTGCACATTAAAAGGCATCTCCCCTTTGACGAGTGTTTAATTTGGCCTTGTAAAGTGTATGAAGTGCAGGCATTTAATTTGTTTGACAGAAGCAAGCCCAAAGCACCTCCTGTAATACTGTGCCACAGGGTTTCCTGAGTCTTACCACATGTTAGGCATAGTCTGGAAGTCTGTGTTAAATAAGCTTCGACTCAAAACACCAGTTTGACAAGGGTCTGTTTTAATTGAAAGACACAAACCTCTATCTTCTGAGCCAGGTGGAGGGACATAAAGGAGTACACCGTCCACCATCCTGTCCTAAGGAACCCTTTGCTCTTTCTTGTAAAAGGACAAAGATGCTTTGGAGCGGGCAGGTGGGACTCTATCAATGGGTCCCAGAATGTCTGGTGTTGCTGGCCTCTCCTAACATTCTCTTTCCTTCAACAATTCTGGCTATCTGCCACAATGTTGATCATTTCTAGCCGAGACAGTAATGATCTAGGAGACCACTTTTTTAATATTGCATTGTAACGAACCAGAATTAAGAAACTTTACAAAATTCATACACTTTGACCTTCCATGCATTACTATCCAGCTGCTCATAAGTCAACCATATCCATATCCATCAAGCTTTTCTGCCTCACACATGTGAAGTGACCATATTTTCACAATATTATTGAATATTCATCTGGGTATTCTGCTGCTCCCTGCTTAAGCTTAGTCATCGTTTTTGTTTCTAAATTGGGGAACAGTGTGTTTTTCCAGGACCCATCAGCTCCAGGTGAAGTAGTTGTTTCAATCTAGTTGTGGAGGATGCAGCTCAGTGTCCCATGTGGGGATCAAACCAGCAACCTTGGTGTTATGGGCTCTAACCAACTGAGCCAATTGGCTGCCCCAAGCTTAGTCATTTTCCCACAAGGAGAAAGCTGTGCTCCATTCCACCTAGAGAAGCGTAAGAGATGACAAAACAGGCTAGATCTAACTTGAAATACATATATGGCTCCTTTTCTTGGGATTGTACACCCCGAATTTCCATTTTCTAAAAACAGGCCCAATCTCCCCTTTCTACCTTGTCTCCTGTCACTTTCCCCTTTGTTCTGTTCTCTATGCTCCAGGACCTTCTTGAGTTCCTTCAACATTCAATGTGCTCTCCAGCACCAGGACCTTTGAAAGAGTGGGTCTCTCTACTGAGAAATTCTGCCCTCCTCGTTATTGCTGGTTTCTACTCCCTTAAGTCCCTTCCACGAGCTCCTTTGTTCATTCATTCATTCAACAAGTATTCATTGGGTGTCTATATGTACCAAACATTTTAGTGAATGAGACTGATTTAAAAACCCTCCTCGAACTTACGTTCTAGTTGGGAGGGGTGCTCAGACCAAAAATAAACATAATAAATAAGTAAATTGTACGTTGGAAGGTTATAATTGATATGGAAGAATCGAAAGGAGCAAAGTATGTATATGAAAAGTACTTGCAATTTAAATAGAGTGGAAGAGAAGTCCTTACTGATATAGTGAAATTTAATTACCGTATTTCCCCATGTATAAGACACACCCATTTTCAAAAAATCTGGGGTCTAAAAACTGGGTGTGTCTTATACAGTGGTTGTATGAGCACAAAAACAATTGCAAAAAAAGTGGGAAATGCAAGTAAAAAAAAACTACAACCACTGTATAAGACGCACCCAGTTTTTAGACCCCAAAATTTTCAAAAAAGGGTGCATCTTATACATGGGGAAATACGGGGTAGTTCTCAATTGTCCTTAGAATTTAGCTCAAATTAACTTGTTCAAGGATGCCTTCCAGACGAGATCTATCAGTGAGTGTTTGAATGTCTGACTAGGTCATCTTCTGTTATATGCTCTTATAACCTCCAATACTTTTTGTTCATAGCTCTTAGCACCATGTGTAATTATATACTCATGTGATTATTTATTAAAGAATGTCATGTCCACTATATTGTAAGCTTCCTGAAGGCAAGCATGAGATCCTTTTTGATTACTTCTCTGTCTCCAAAACTAGCTCAAGATAAGTGCTCAATACAAATTTGTTGAATGAAGGAACCTGTACAGTATGGATAAAAATGTACATTCAGGCTACATTAAGAAAATCAATTGAGATAATAAATACTGAATGAATGATATAAATGATAATGAGTAAGTTCTTTTTATAAGTTGCAAAGCTCTATAAACATGCAGGCCTTACTATTTCTGTGGATAAAAGACCCTCTTGTATCAGCATAGTTCTGTGTTCATTGATATTGTATGACCTAGAATCCCCCTTATGAAGGCAACAGTGTGGTGTCGTGGAGAAGAGCATGGGTGATGGAACCAGACTGCCTGGATTCACTCTTAGCTCTGCCATGTGACTACGTTGTGTTTCTACTTGCTCATCAATAAAACGGGATGACGATGGTACCAACCTCACAGAGATGCTGTAGAATTAGAGGAGTGAATATCTCTAGGGTGCTTAGAAGAAGGCCTGGCATATCTTAAGTACTTAATCCACATTATCAGGATTATGGTTAGTTTTATTTGCCATGCTTTCAACTGTAATCCAGACATTTAATATTTATTGACTGAAATCTTTTTTGTTTTTTTCTTAGAGACAAATGAACTATTGGTAGTAATTCCTAGTTCAGCGATGTTTTCTTTAACATAAGTTGAAGAGTAAGGATGATTCTTTTCAGGCCCCATCTTGTAGGTGTCGGTGTCTGTTCTAGTTCATCTATACTTTTATCTTGGTGGTCCTTTTCCAAGTGTCTTGGCAGCTGGAAGTTAAGTGAGAGCTGATGGCTGAGAAAACTGGGTCCAAATGCTTGTTCTGCCACTTACTGGTGGAAAGACCTTTGGCAAGATATGACGCTCTTTGAGGTTCACACTCTCATCTATAAAATGGGAATCATAATTGCTCCCTCACAGGCTTGCTGTGAGGACTGAATGGGAAAGTGTTCATGGAGGGCCGATTCAGAGAGAAGTTTTACAAATATTAGTTCTGCCTTCCTTGCGCTTTGTTAAGGAACAAATCTACACTTTATTTTATTTTTTATTAAATTTTTTTTATTAAAGTGTAGTTGACATACAAGAGTATATTAGTTTCAGGTGTACCACATAATAATTCCATGTTTATGTGCCTTCCGATGTGATCACCACACTAAGCCTGGTAACCATCTGTCACTGTGCCAAGTTATTACAATATTGTCTACATTCCCTGTGGTGCACACGACATCTCCATGGCTTATTTATTTTATAACTGGAAGTTTGTACCTCTTATTTCCCTTCACCTTTTCACCCGTTCCCTCACCCTCCCAAGGAACCTTCTGGACACACGACATTGTGGTCTGTAAAGGCTTTAACAAGTGTTCTAAATCAGGAAGCCAAAGTCAACACATTTGGAACTCACTACACATGCCCTGCAATGATTCACATTATTGGCAGAGACCCTGCAATGAGCACAGCGTTCATTTGTTGCCCTATAATCAGGAGGAAAACAGTTATTTTAAGAAACATTCTTTCTAACATCAGGAATGTATCAATTTATATAGCATTAACTAGCTAATGAACAACTAACTACAACTGACTAACTAGAATCACCATACCAAATATGTTTCGTGGATTGCAGAAAAAATTTAAGAAAAAATTT